TGTTAATGTAAATTCCAAGTATTGGTTATTTTAAAATAAAGAATTATTTATTTATATTAATATCGTTCTATTTTTATAAAAAAGAATGATGGAACAGACAGAGTGGGGTTGATCGGCAATAACAATTGTCGCTGATAGGTTAACGATTTGAGGAGGTCGGATTTCTGACTGGCCCTTCGCTAGCTGATTCAGTGACCCTTCTTCGTTGCCCTCCATCTCACAGGTCTAGTTTCTTGATATTCTTGAAATTTAACGGTGATCCTGCATCGTTGAGGTATCAGCAAAGAAGCCTAGTTGCCAATAAGTTAACGATTTGAGGAGGTCGGTTCTCCGACTGACCCTTCGTTGGCTGATGTGGCGACCCTCTCTCGATGTTTTTATCTTAACTTTCGAGATCCAGCCAAAACAATGAGCAGCCCAAACACGTAAATATTCAACACCAGCTACACTTCCAAATAAACTAAAAGATTTTTTAAAAAAATTTTAAAAGTTTTTATATCGTTAATTTAAATTCCAAGTATTGGTTGTTTAAAAACAAAGAATTATTTATTTTAATTAATAATATTCTATTTTTATAAAAAAGACTGATGAAAAAGACTGATGGAATAGACAGAGTAAGGCTGATCAGCGATGACACTTAGCGCTGATAGGTTAACGATTTGAGGAGGATTGAGTTTTGATAATAAAATTTAAAAAAAGTGACTTCCGCGTCTTTAAACGAAATATTACTTTGATTTTGGCGCCTATGTTTGGTTTATTTATAAGATTTTTGTATTATTTATTAGAATTTTAGACTTAAAAATACTTTTTCTTTACCTTTAACAATAACTACTACGCTGAGGATAGCCCATATAAATTCCTAATAGTCTAACCCGAGTGACTTAACCTAAGAAAAATGATTGCTCGCGTAACCTTTCTTTCATTACTTACCTTCCTTTTAGAGATAGTGTCTCGATAAAAATACTCATCTTGGGCAGATGTTACATGCATCCAGCTGCTGTCTTGTAGAAGGCCTCCTAGGCAAAGACTTAAGGGGTAAACAGATTCTATCTGTTGACCAGCCTCGCACCCCTTCCTCATCTATTAGGCTGGCGCAGATGTATTTTTAATACATTGTTTCCAGTTTAGGATGTTGAACGCTGGATCTTCTTGACTCAATGCGTAGTATTGCTTGTGTCTCTATTTTTATGACTGGGCAACTCATTCTATTATCTCCTTATGAGGGTACAGCTCTAAAACTCAGTTTTATGGTTCTGAGGCCGGCTGGTAGTCAGGTTTCCCGAACTCTGTGGTAGCTCTCAGAGAGGCTGATTCCATCAACAGCCGAAAAATATCAGAGTACTAACAGTGCCATGTTGCGCATGGATGGTGTCCCTGTTTGTACTTTTGGTGTGCATTGCAGAGGCCACATTTGGAGCCCTTTGTTACGGCTTAGGGTTTATTAATAGTAATGAGGCTATTGCTTAGTTGTTAAATAGTGTACTGAGTACTATCTATACTTGAGTCAAGTTCTTTATAAATTTAAAATGACTAAAGTACCTAAAACTAAAAAACACAAAAAACCATCGTTTTTTGTGTTTTTTAGTTTCATCACCAAGTTCTCTAAACCTATCATTTACTAATATTCGTGGTCTTCGAAGTAACTTTTCTTCTGTTGAGTCTTATCTCTTGCAAAGTTCACCAGACCTACTTGCTCTTTGTGAGACTAATTTGAGTTCGGCTGTCCCATCTTGTGATCTTAGTGTTGATGGTTATCTTCCTTTAATTCGTAAAGACTCCAATAATCACATGCTTGGCCTGGGCATCTACATTCGTAAGAACTCACCCATTTGTCGTGAAACTAGGTTTGAATCTACAGACTATTCATTTATGTGCTTTCGTTTAGCACAACTTCACTCTATCGCCTTTCTCTTTGTTCTATATCGCTCTCCTTCATCCCAAGATTGCACTATTCTTGATGTTATTTCTGATCAAATTGACCAAGCCCTCTCTCTTTATCCATCGGCCAATATCGTCGTTGTTGGTGACTTTAATGCCCATCACACCGATTGGCTTGGCTCTAGTGTCAGTGACTCTGCTGGCGTTAAGGCCCTCAACTTTTGCCTTTCTCAATCTCTAACTCAAATAGTCAACTTTCCAACTCGTTTTCCAGACAACCCTAATCATTTACCTTCTCTACTCGACTTATGTCTTGTTTTGGATCCTAGTCAGTGCTCAATTTCTCCACATTCACCCTTAGGTACTTCTGATCACGGTTTGATCTCTCTAAAACTATTATCAAACTCTTCTACTTCATCAGAATCCCCCTATCATCGTACCACATACAACTACCTTAAAGCTGACTGGGACTCTTTCCGTGATTTTCTTCGCGATGGCCCTTGGGTAGAAATCTTTCGTCTTCCTGCTGACAAATGTGCTTCTTACATAACTTCGTGGATTCAGGCTGGCATGGAATCCTTTATTCCCTCTCGACGATTCCAGGTCAAGCCTCACTCTTCTCCTTGGTTTTCCTCACATTGCGCTGCAGCAATTTCTAATCGAAACCGTTACTTCCATATCTATCAGCAAAACAATTCTCCAGAAAACAGACATCTGTTCACTATCGCCAGAAACCATTGTAAAAAGGTTTTGTCTGACGCCAAAGCTCGCTATTCCCAGGTCATTAAATCTCGTATCTCATCACAAAAATTAGGCTCTCGAGACTTCTGGAGAATCTTTAACAGTATCAATAATAAAGGCAAATCTGTTATTCCTTCTCTCTTGTATGGTTCAGACTTTGTCACCTCACCTAAAGACAAAGCTGAATTGTTTGCTAAGAACTTTTCATCAATATCATCTCTTGATTCCACTAGTTGCGTTTTACCTGACATAGCCGTCAAACAGGTTGATCCCTTGCTTGACATTCGCATCACTTCAGCTTCTGTATCTAAAGTAATTTCCTGCTTAGACTCTTCAACAGCTTGTGGTCCTGACAACATTCCTGTTGTAGTCTTGCAGAGGTGTTCTCCGGAGCTTTCATCCATACCTTCTAAACTATTTAACAAGTGCTTATCAGAGTCTTGTTTTCCATCATGCTGGAAAGCAGCATCTGTTATCTTTACTTTCAAAAATTTCGGAGAGCGATCTGATTCATCTAACTACCGTCCCATTAGTCTTCTTCCTGTCATAAGCAAGGTTTTTGAATCTTTAATCAACAAACACTTAATCTCTCATCTTGAATCAAATAACTTATTTTCTGATCATCAATATGGATTTCGGTCTTCTCGTTCTACAGCTGATGTGCTAACAGTAATAACCGATAGGTTTTACCGTGCATTAGATAGAGGTGGAGAGGTTAAGGCTATCATACTTGACATTTCTAAAGCTTTTGATAAAGTTTGGCATGCTGGTCTTCTCCATAAGCTTTCTTCTTATGGTGTAGCTGGTAACGTCTTTAAGATTATTGAGTCCTTTCTTTCCAATCGTAGTATAAAAGTTGTCCTCGATGGACAACACTCTTCTTCACATCCTGTAACTTCAGGGGTTCCTCAAGGTTCAATCCTTGGCCCTATACTCTTTTTAATTTACATTAACGATCTTCCAGATATTCTCACATCTAAGGTGGCATTATTCGCTGACGACACTACCATTTACTCTTGTCATGATAAGAAGCCTACACTCTCTGATTGCTTGGAGGGGGTATCTGAGCTTGAAAAGGATCTCACTTCTGCTACAGCATGGGGCTCACAGTGGCTGGTGAACTTTAATTCAGATGAAAATCAATTTTATTCGGCCAATCGTTATCGTAATAATTAAGATCTTCCTATATTTATGAATGGTAATGTACTAGATGAGTCATCTACCATTCATCTTCTAGGATTAACTCTTACTTCTGATCTTTCTTTTAAACCGTATATCAAATCCATTGCAAAATTAGCATCTGCTAAGGTTGCATCTCTTTATCGAGCTCGACACTTTCTTACTCCAGATTCTATTCTCTATCTCTATAAATCTCAAATCCGTCCCTGTATGGAATACTGTTGCCACATCTGGGGCGGATCTTCTAATGATGCTCTTTCTCTTTTAGACAAGGTGCAAAAACGAATTGTAAACATAGTTGGACCTGCTCTGGCAGCCAATCTCCAACCTTTGTCACATCGTCGCAATGTTGCTTCTCTTTCTCTTTTCTACAAATACTATAATGGGCACTGCTCTAAAGAGCTAGCATCCCTTGTGCCATCTACTAAAATTCATTCTCGTGTTACTCGCCATTCAATTAAGTCTCATCCTTTTTCTGTGACTGTTCCTAAGTGCTTCAAAAACTCTTATTCTTCTAGTTTTTTTCCTCGAACATCAGTTCTTTGGAATTCGCTTCCTTCATCTTGCTTTCCTGATTCATATAACTTGCAATCTTTTAAGTCATCAGTCAATCGTTATCTTGCTCTACAGATTTAGTCTTTTCTCTTCCAGTAACTTCCAACTCTTATAGTGGTTGCTTGCAGCCTTGTTGGAAGTGAAGATGTTAAAAAAAAAAAAAAAAAAAAAAGAACCATCACGATTTAACATCAAAAAGGACATTGAGGAGAAGGGTTCGAAGACGACAAAATATTCAAGAGAGAATTGCAGCTAAGCGGAACTTAGAGGCATCTATAGATAGTGAGGGAACATTAGAAAAGGAGCAGAAAGTGGTCGAAGAACCACCAGTAAAAATAAATAAAGAAGATACAGAAGAAGTGGAAAATACATTAAGGTTCTTGGCCGATAATTTAGACGTTTTCACGAACAATATAATTGTAAAGTAATGTACATTTAAATGATAAATATATACTTAAAAACATTAGTAACATAATTCCGAATCACCACCTATTGTAATACCAATGATTTCTTACCCCTATAACCTTTATCCCAACCGGAACACGTGACTTTATCCAGAATCTACGTGTAACCCAAACCCTAATTATCAATAATTATCACAACAATTATCATAAATATATTAAACATCTAAATCCCCCTAAGAACAACTGCTCTAAATATACCCACTAAGACATTGAATTACAGAGACAGCCAATTTCAATACTTGTCTCTAAAATAAAACCGATGACAATAACAAAAAATAATTCCCGCGGAAAATGATAGAAAAACTCACCTTGAGAATTACCTAACTCTTTTCGCGGAGACTAAAGAAGCTCTGACACGTAAATAGAACAATAGACCATTGAAAACTTACAACGATAGAACAATGGAATTTCTAAAAACAGAAGTTTTACATTTTTATGTGCACACGTTTCGTTCGTATCAGATATCTGCTAACAAGCGAAGAAAAAGCAACTTTGGCGTTCAGAAATATATTTTTTCACGTTTATTTAATAAAAAAATCCACATTAACGACAACACGAACAATGGCATCGAATAATTACATAAATATATACCCTACTACAACACCCAGCAACACGGTAAGAAAAACATTCCCTTTATCACATTTACATACTTAATAAGTCATACCATCACCACCCCACTATAATTTAGCGTTTACTTGAACATCACACGCCACTACAATTCACCATTGAAAGCACCCCATACTATTCTTACACATTATGCATACTTAGAATTTATTATAGAGTCCAAACACACCGGAAGACATATTCCTTACACAAGACGTGTTCCGAAATCAAGAAGTTCTCGTGACCGTAGATAAATTAGAATTAGAAATACTAAGGCACAGTACCACCCTGGAACCCGAAGACAAAAAAGAAGGAGACACAACACAAAAAGACGAAGAACTAAGTGACAGCCAAATGCTAGAAACGGTAGGTTTAGTTCAAACCTTTACACCAAAAACATCTTAAAAACTATTAATCATCCCCCTCATACCCAACCCCCTAGAGTCCGACTCCGTTATCTGAAAATTGTTGTGTTTATATATGTATGTACTTCATTTATGTATATCATTTGTGCGTGTTTGCATGCATATATGCATGCATCTGTATATGCGGACATGTGGGGATGTATGTGTTTGCATGCATATATGCACACCCTACCCTGTTACCCTCTTAGTATGTATAGACCTCTGTTTTATACATGGTAGTGTTCATACAGATATATTTGTATGTGCATATACATGTGCACATACATTTATATTTGGATTCATACTCTTGCACCCAAACCCCTCTATTTCACTCTATTTCACTCCGTTACCTGATTTATCTGTTTTATGCATAGTGGTACTCACACAAGTATATGTGTACTTGCGTGTGCATGTGTTTGCGTGTTTATATGCGCATATGCGTGTGCATGTATGTGGACGTGTGTTTATGCATTAGGTGTGTATACATGTATATGTAGAATTGTGTTCTTATATGGGTGTGCATACTTCTATGTCTAAACCAGCTCTCCCGTACCCAACCCCCTAAGATTCTAAATCAACTCTCACAGTATTATATAATTGCGTGAGAACATATTATAATGATCTACACTATTCTGTATGACCTTATAATGCTCGATACGCACACCAGATGAAATGGGAGACTCCTCGGGTATGAGTTCATCACATATCTAAACCTCACGTGGTAACTAAGCTGTAGGCCATGGAGTTGTTTTAGTACTTTAACTTCTTCGAAACAAGCTTAGACATTCCGACATGGCCCTGACGAGATGAAGGTTTGTCACATGCCACAACTTTCGACCATTATGATGACCTCAACCCCGAACTCCACTCGTGCAGCACCTTCCCCTCAACTTGTTTTACTTTTATACTACAATAATTTGTACTACTAATTTACTACTAATTTATTACCTCCAATTTACGATGGTAATCACTAAAGCTTTATAGCATACATACTATGCATATCGGATATATTATACACGATATATATAATATTCTAGATATACATAAGTCTCTCTATAAATAATATAAGAAACTTATTGGTTTACCTAACAAGCATCATACTGCCCCGAACCAACACCACTGAGCCAAACTGTGTTGCTATAATTGTACTGCACCCCGCACATAGTTCTTACAAAAATAGCAACAAACTCCACACTCTCATATGTTCTATCAACATATGTTAAAACATATCTTATAAAGTGCTTTTAACAAAGATTACAATCACAAAGAACATGATAACATCAAAATTAAATAAGACGGAAAATTAAAATATTTACGAAAATACAGATTCATACAAAGAAAGACATTAATTCACATATTAAACTTGAACATTTAGAACACCACAAACACAAAGCACAATAATTAACACAAACTTACAGAACACTGAAACAACACTTTCTTAAACCTAACTTAAAGAACACTTACTTAACTCTAACTTAACTAGTGAATAATACTCCCCTCTTTAACACCACCTCTTAATACTGGACATCTCTCCAAATATTATAATTTATCTAGCACTCCCTTGCACTTATATAATATATTTCTTTCTTCTCTTAAGACTCTTACGGCCTGATGGTTCCATATCAGTGGTGGAACTTTAATAGCTTCCACTGCGAAACAATAGCAGATTAAGAAAAAAAAGACATTTGAAGATTGAAAGATGGTGAAAACTTCGAATAAAAAAAAGTTAGTGAAGATAAGTAAACTGAAGAATATCAGAACATTTATTTTAAAAAGCAATAATATATTGTAATTGTTTGTTTAAGACTGTTAGCACCAATATATAACTTTTTTTAATGTTTTTTGTAAATTTTTAACTTAATACAAAATATTTCTCAAGTTTGCCTTTGTAAAATAGTAAAACCTTACTTAAAATAATAAAGCCTTGAAAAGAAACTTATTAAATTAATAAAACTTCTTTTATTTTAATTCTAATATCAGTAGTATAGGTGCAAAGGTTTTAATTTTATAACTGTAAATGTTTATATTTGATTTGTAAATATTTAAATTAGAGTTTTAAATTTTAAAAATGGTTTTAAAAAGTTTGTTTTTTTTCTTTCGAGGAAGCCATTTTGGCACTTGTCGTAACGGCGCGGTTTTAAAGAATTATCTTAAAATAGCAAATATTCAGTATATTTACCGAGAATTTTCGTAACGACAGCTTTCGATGTTTACCGAGTTTGGGGTGCGCCGTCCGCCCTAATTTTTTGTGATAATGCAGAAGAACGTATCATCTTTTTATATAATGTCTACAAAGCAGGTTTCGTGTGAACAACTTATATAGAAAACGAACCAAAAAAAGCACCCTACAGTAGCTTGAAAAGCAATTAGTTTAGACTGCAACTGTTAAACGTATTGTTTTGCATTTTTATTATTGCTTGAATTACAACAAACTCAAGAAAACATTCGAATTGAAGACCAATTGACTTCAATTAGTATACTTCTCCATCGCATATAAGTTGTGTATGTTTTCTTTATTTTGCGTTAATTTTCTTATCACAAAAATCACCACCAAGTTCATGTCTATTGCATAGCCAATTGCTGACAGACTTGAAACTATTCAATAGCAATTCTCATACGAACAGAATTTAAATATTCAATGCCTAGTATTTCTAAAACAGTAGCTTGTTTATTTGTGCTTTTGGGATTTGTTTGTAACAAAGAAAGGAGCTTTCATTGTAATTGCCTTTTAAAGATTTAAAAAATGATTGTGTTAAGGTTGGTGACGGTGGGTTGTATGAGAAGGTAAGGAAAACATTATAATGTCGTACTTGCACGATAGGTCTATATAACATGAATACTTTTTGTATGGGTAACGTGCCCATCTAAAAGAAAGAGTACTTGCAAATTTTTACTCGTCTTTAACATTTTGTACTTGATAAAATTTAAAAGTAATTCATTCATTTTTGGAGCACCCAAATACAGTAGCTACTGATGTTACTTTCTTTAGGCGGTTGTTTTCGTTTAAATAGTGTTATGGGAGGTAAGAATTTACATGCATTTTTTGTAAAAAATTCACTGGTAGCTTTAAAACCACTTTTACTACTTGTAAGTATATCAACTTGAGATTAACCTTTTTGTGCAATTATTTTGGATGTTTTAAAAACAGTAAGCAAATATTTTTTGTCAACGCTTCTTGTGTTCATCTTATATGAATTAGTATTTATCAAGAAATTCATAAACATTATCTGTAATAAATGCACTGACATTATCCTTTGTTATTGTCTTTGACATACGCAAATGTAAACAAGGATTATTCTTGATAAATTTGTAGTACCACTTCTTCCCAGTATTTTATTTTTTTCTATTGAAGTGATGAGGTTATTTATATTTTTCTCCTAATTGATAAACAAGTTTTCTTATATCATTTTCATTAACTCCAAAAAAACTCGATTCTAAGTTCAGAACATGTGCAATTAACTCCTCAAAATTTTCAGTAATATCATAAGGGTTTCCAAATTTGACATTCTCATTTAATACTTTGAAAAGATGCCATAAGATTGTATGGGGATTTTGTATTCTTTATGAGCTTCATTGAACTTAATAACTCCTTCGGTTAATTAAGTTAACACTTTGCCCATATCGTCTTACTTCCATCTAATATAAATTTGCTTTGATTGACTTGACTTAGTAATGACGTAAAAATAATCTTATTATTACGAATGAAATTAAAATTAAATTGAAAAAATAATAATAAAAAATGAAATTAAAAAAATGTAATTAAAAAAAATCTTCTTTTTACGAATCTAAATAAAAATAATTTCTTAAGTCGTGCAGCAAAGAAGTAAAAGTAAAAGAACAATAGATTCCCAGCAGGCAAAGCAGGCAAAAAAAACAACGTTGTGCTAATGTTGTATTTATGTTAAAATTGCGTTTCACGTTACTTAATGTTAATTCAACGTTAAGTCAACAAAATCTTTTTAACGTAATATTCTTTAATACACAACGTTAAAAAAAGCAAAAGTTTTAACCTAACATTCTAACGTTGAGCTAACATACGGACAACGTAAAAAAATAAAGAAATATTAACGCATTTCTGCTAACTATAAGAAAATCTACCGTAATTAATTTTTTTTTCCTTCTTAAAGATGGCGTATGAGAATATAGAAAATGGGTAGGTACAATCGGCAGAGCAGAGCAGATTGGCAGAGCAGATCATTGAAATGTTAATAACGGAAGAGCAGATTATTCAATCAGTAGTTTCCTAATGTGTGATCTGCCAAATAATTCGGCAGATCATATAATAGGATTTTTATAATGTGATTGCCAAATAATTTTATGAAAAACGATGCACTTCGAATAGAAAGAACTATGAGTTGACTTTTTAAACAATAACGTTTTTTGTTGTTGCAATACTTTCCAAAAAAAAAGTGATCTGACGTATTCTAATGTGTGATCTGTCAAATATTTTGGCAGATCTTAATGTAACCGGCAAAGCAGATTGGCAGAGCAGATCATTGTAATTTTAATAACGGCAGAGCAGATTATCACAGACAGACAATCAGCCGTTTTCTATTTTGTGATCTGCAAAATTATATTTTGATAATGCGTGATCTACCAAATAATATTTGAATAATGTGTGATCTGCCAAATAATATTTGGCAGATTAGAAAATTAGAAACACATTAGAAAACGGCTGATTGGATAATCTGCTCTACCGCTATCAACATTACAATGGTCTGCTCTGCCAATCTGCTCTGCTCTGCCGATTGTACCTACCCATAGAAAAAAAGTTCAGTTAAAAGTTAAATTAAAATTAAAAATTTAGTTAAATTAGCTAAGTTTAAAGGTTTACATTGACTTTTAAAAGAAATTCGAGGAACTTTTCAAAAAATATTTGAAAATAAACAGCGCACATTCATTTAAAACTTTGAATTGCTAATAAAAGATTTAATAAATGTTTGATTAAAAAGGTTATATAAGTAAATATATATATATATATATATATATATATATATATATATATATATATATATATATATATATATATATATATATATATATATATATATATATATATATATATATATATATATATATATATATATATATATATATATATATATATATATATATATATATATATATATATATATATATATATATATATATATATATATATATATATTATTGGTTAGCCTCTAAGTATTACCCTGCTTATTGAGTAAATGTTTAACTGTAAGTATTGTATTTCTGAATAAATATTTTATAGCAGTGTTTACTTACAGTTCTTTTCAGATTAACCGTAAATACTAGTCTCGATACCATTTAAATGTGTTTAAATTTTAATTTTTTGAATTTTGATAATACAAATATCATAATTAATGCTGAGATAACTACACAGAAAAATATTTTCATATTATTATCAGTGATGCATTTGTATTACGGTATTCATTATTAAAATTTTTCTTCTTTTAATCTCATTTTAAGCTTTAAAGGGTTGTGCAACTATTTTATATTACTTTAACAGAATCAAAATTTATTGCTAAGTTTAGATTTTTTAATAATAAGAAGGAGTAATATGTCAAATATTTTACTTTAAATGCGAGGGAATTACAAACAAATATCAAGTCGGAATACAGAGCTTAACGCTCATGCAATTTAGGCTGCTATGGCAACTCTTTGAATCTGGTAGTATAACTATTTAAATCAAATTAACTGTGGAAAATGAATTTCAATAAACTGGTCACTTTGCTTATATTTTGACAAACAACGTAAGTAAATTATTAATTTGAAACTGGAAGGTTAATTTTTCAAATGTCATCAACAAGCATCTGCTATGCATTAAGTGTTTAAAAAAATCAAATTATAAAGTAAGTAAAATAAAATGTATTTTAAAATTTTAATTTATAGAAAGCATAGAGAGTCTTTAACAAAAGCTCAAATAAATGATCGTATTGTAAATATTGAAAAAGCCTCTCCATTGGTAAATAAATGTCAAACAATATGTATAGAGAATGCAAGCAATTGTTAAGCAGTTATATTTATTATTGTTTAGTTTCTTTTTGTATATTTATAGTATATATTATACCTGTAATCTTCTTGTATATTCACATTTTTATTATTTAATTTGTAATTTATTTAGTTATGTTTTAGTTAACATAATGTATTTAACTTTATAATTTAACGTTAAACTCAGGGCTGTGGAGTCGGAGTTGCGGAGTTGCAACATTTTTAGCGGAGTTGGAGTCGCTAAACAAAATGGTGACTCCGACTCCAATAGTAAAACTTCTCAGTATTGTATGTGCATGTACAAAACATGCAATTAACCTTATATTCATACTAAACCCCAAAGAGGGTTTCATAAATTTGTCAAAAAAAAAAAATTTTAATCTTATTGCGTAATATTTTTTAAAGAATTCTAAAAATTTTTCAAAAATTTTGCTTTGGAGTTGTAGTCGGAGTCAGAATTGTACTCAAAAAATTCAAATAACTGGAGTTGGAGTCGTTACTTTTTTTTACGACTCCACACCTCTGGTTAAATTAATGAACTTTAAAAAAAAAATACAATTGACATTATTTTGCAAACTAAAGTTTAACGTTAACATTTTGTTGTTGAAAAACCTGTAATATCTAATTTTTATTTTCAGATTTTATTTTAAGCTAGCTTTTATTTTAGCCTAAATAACCATAGCTAATAAAGGCTAGCAAATACTCTTACTGTCTTTACAAAAATTGTTTTCAGCTTATTAATTAGTAATAACTATTACTAATAACACTTTTAACTTTAGGACTTCAATTATGATTCAATCATTCAACTGTATGTTTTTAACTATGACAATTATATACAAACATTTAACTATATGAGATTAATGAGCTAGCAAGTAAAAAACTTACTTTGATCAAACGTAGTTTGATGAGAGTTTAAGAATATTAACTCTTCAAAGTTTAGGAAATATAAGAATATTATCTCTTCTAAAAATGTTTTGACCTGTTTTTTTATTAATAAAAATTTAGGTTTTCTTCGTATTATTATTATTTTTTTTCATTGTGTTCAGTTTTCATTATATTCTTTTTATTGTTAAAACTACTAAAATTTATGTTTATTTCAGAATAATAAAAATAAATAAACAAGAGAAAAATCATTACTTAAGGGAATGGCGCTAAAGTAATCAAGCCTTAAATAATATACTTGTAAATAAAGAAATCGACAAAGCATTGCAGGTTAAACCCAATAATAATGAAGTTGAGAGTTGCATTGATTTCAAAAACACTCAAATTGAGATCTATAGTGACATTTTGTGTCTAATCATAAAGATACTTCTGAAACTGAGAGTTCTGATCTAGACTCTGAGGTTTCTATGAATGATGATAATGAAGATCTAAATGATGTTATACTTGTTACAGAGATGGCCAAATGGATTTTAAAACACAGAATAACTAGAAATGCAAGTGTTGAACTGTTATTTTTAATTTTACACTAGTATGGTCATCATATTGATTTACCAAAATGCACAAGGACAATTTTACCCCTAGGAATGTTCCAAGTGAGTTAAAATGTGGAGGTGAATATGTTTATCTTGTTATTTCAAACAGCATATCAAAAACTTTAGCAGTCAACTAGCATTATAGAATTGATTCAAATGCAACTTTTTTAGTTGTCAATATAGATGGCCTTCCCTCATTCAAGTTATCAAACACACATTCCTATATTATTTATATTTGACAAAGGGACACCGTTTATTTTATCATTATTTGTTGGTGATAACAAGCTAAATAATCGTGATGATTTTTATATGATTTTTTGCATGAGTATGAGTTATTATTGGCAAATGGTTTTCAGTATAATTCATATAACTTCAATTACATCTTGAGAAAAATTGTTGCAAATGTGCCGATAAAACATCAGGAAGTGTAAGCTTAACCATTTTCAAAAGATTGAGTCTATTGAAGAATTTTATGAGCTTGAAACCAGATTAAAAGACAACCGGGAGTACTGTAAATTAGTAATTTATATTTATAATTTCTATTTTTAAAGTTAGTCTGTTTGATAGATTGCCTTTTAGTTACATCATTTTCATTTTCATACAATACATAAATCAAGAATTATTTTAGTGACCTGATAGCCATTTACATTTTGTAGAGTTTTTCACAGTCTTGTTTTTTTTTTATTTTTATTTTTTTTATTTTTTATATTGCTTTTATAGAACAACTGTGATAAATAACCAAATGAACCTAATCCTGTCTTATTCGAACATGAACTTTTCACTACACTTTCATTTATGTTTTCGCTTTGTCACCTCAAGAAAGCAGGTGGAAAAAATGTTATGGTCAGGTATGTATTTTTGATTAACTCTGGATAATCAAACCATTTAAACTGTGAGTAATTAATAGAAATATCTAGCCCAAGAAAAGTAATTTAGAAAAACAAACAATTTTAATATTATTATTTGGGGAGAACCTTAATGAATGAAACATTGATTAAATGGGACAAAATCAAATTTGCATACAAACATATAAGGTTAATTAGTAAATAAACCCTGTGGTAAAAAATGTTAAACACAACAATTCAACAGACCAAATCATTATTCTATCATAGCCTAAACATGATGGGCCAAACATAACATTAAAACTGTTGCATTAATGGAAATTAATAGCACATTTTTCCTGGCGGAACAAACAATTTTCAATGTATAAATTAGAAAACTTTATCAACTTTTAAAAAGTCTTTTACAAAAACTGCCCCGTTCATTTAGGTTCTCCCCTACAGGTTTCAGCTTTAATTTGATGTCAAAATTGAATGTACAACATTTATAAAAAAGTATAGAACCTTTCAAAACTATACTTTGTGAGTTATTACTTTAATGTGTGTTTACAATTAATGAAATAAGTTTGCTGGATCGATGTAGTATTAGAAAGTAGTTATTTTTCATTTATTATTTTTTATTACGTTTTTATGGAATTATGGAGCATCATGTTAAGCCCAAGTTGAATATAAAAAGCAAAATTCGTGGTGATGTAAAAAAGGTATCATTCGAAGATAAAAAGTTGTGTAAAGCAATAATTGGTACGTTAATAATAGCTCAATATTGTTCTATCTATCCCTTCTTCCTTACGTTCCTTCCGTTTTTTATTCTTAGATATATATTAGTCTTAAACCTTGAATGTTAACGTTGAAAATCAAACATATAGTCAATTATAAACATAGTAAATTTTTAACTGTTATCCTGTTTACAGTATCCCATGTTGTATTTTAGGAGTCATCCAGCTAATGCACTAGTCTTCAACTGAAGCAAACAAAAGATCAAATAGAAAGCATTTTTAAGTTCTCTCCATTGAACAATAATTTATTTTTGAGTTTTTTTGTAAATTTATAATACAAAAGAATATATAATACATCTTTAAAATTTTTTTTTAAAAACATTGTATTTTTAGGTCGAATATCACCAAAACTATTTTTCTAACCCTTTGTAAGGGGTTAAAAACCCTTATATTACTTTTGAATATTGATTGTAATTGTGTTTAATATTTAATGTTAATATATATGGTTATATTCATACAATAACCATGAAATGAAGCCGCGTATAACGGGCTTCGGCTCAAGGTTATATAAATATAACTATTGCTATATCAGCATTAAATATTGCACAATTACAATCAATATTTTACGTTAATATAAAACGCCAATATTTTTCCAACTTGTATTTACATTAGTATAACGTTAATCTAACTTTAGAATTTTACGTTAATATAACGTTAATATCTAACGTAAATCTAACGTAAGAATTTTACGTTTCAAAACCTTTCCATTTTGCCGAACCGGCAATGTTGTACTAACATAAAATTTAACGTAAATAAAACATCAATACAACGTTGTGTTCCCGCTAGGTTAGAAGAGAGTTGGATCTAACATCGTAAAAAGTTGTGTAAAATTTTATTCTTAATTTATAACCGTTTAAATAAAACATTGTACTAAATATATACCAAGTATAAGAAAAAAGGTATAAGAAAATTGACATAAACTTATCTGATAAGGGAATTTACAATGAGGCTGCTTTACGACAAACAATTACACCTAAAGCAACTTAGTCAACTCAGATGTATAATTGGTTGCCGTGGTTTGTGCTGATATAATTATAAATCATTCAGAATTCAAGTATTATGACTTTAGCACTAGTAAGACCTGAGAAACCTAACCCTACATTAAATAGATACATAAATATGTTAAATTGATGTCAGATATTATAAAAGTTTTTGTTCTGCAAATTCAAAATTGAATTTTTAGTTCCGCAAATTCAAAGGTAAGTATTTATGTTTTGCATATTAAAATAAAAGTTGATATAATAAACAAGCAATCCATAAAAATCTATCGTTGTGCAAAAATACTTAATTTTTTTGTTTTCAAAACACGTTATCTTGGGTTAGATTTATGTCAATCAATGGAGTAAGAGCCATGAATCAAACTTTAAAAAAAACTTTATACTGAAAATATTCTTCCAGTGATATATATATATATATATATATATATATATATATATATATATATATATATATATATATATATATATATATATATATATATATATATATATATATAGATAGATAGATAGATAGATAGATAGATAGATAGATAGATAGATTATTAAATAAACGAAATGAGTTGATTTCAAAATGCAGACGCAAAAATAAATTCCTTTTATTTTTATTTTTTATTTTTTTTATGGTTACAATAATAATGTTAATAAAGAATAGTGTTACAATAGTTACCATGGTTTTATATATTTTTCTATATATATATATATATATATATATATATATATATATATATATATATATATATATATATATATATTTTACATTAAAATGCTCTTTCGACTACACTATATGGATATATATATATATATATATATATATATATATATATATATATATATATATATATATATATATATATATATATATATATATATATATATATATATATATATATATATATATATATATATTGCCTCTGGGCAAGTTTTGCGACATCGGTTGGGAAGGAGGCGTGAACTTCCTATTAAATGCTCTTCCGCGGTGCTCTGTGATAATACCGTAAGGACTTCTTGGGGCACCTAAAATCTACATTAAAAAAGAAAAAAAAAAAAAAAAAAATTAGTAGTAAATTCAAAAAGCCTAAACGCAAGTTTTCCAGCAAAATTTAAAATAGTTTTTAATAGAACAATTAAAGGCTCTTTTCAACACCTTAATAACTGCATAACAGTTACTTAAATTTTTTCATTGACGCGCTTTTTAAAGTTTGAACGCAATAAAGTTGCGATTTCTCAATTCATAGCCAATAGCTTTCCAAGCATGAATTCAAGAAAAGTCGAAAACGCTCTGCAGTCGATAACGTTGCATTTTCTCTGCTAAGGAACTCCATTGCTAGTTTTGCTGGCTCCAAAGCGGCATGTGTAGCTAATGAACTCATAAACTAGCTTTTTGATTACATCAAGAGCATTTAATTCAGTGAATGTGTGGAAAAAATATTCCTTAGTTTTTAACAAGGACGCAGTAATTAAAATAAGTGAATTCCAACGATGACAAACATCCGAATACAGTTTGATTTCTTTATCCATATCTTCAGAAACTTTCTTCTGAATAATTTGATTACGAACTGATGACATTTGAATGAATTTCACTACTTTTAGTACATTCATCAAAGTTTCAGGGTATTAAAATTAATTTTATTATTTACTGATTCAAAACTAAAATTATTATTGTAAATTTCATGTTCACCCTCTTCTGAATCACTTTGCATGTCCTTGGGAATTCGTACGTTTGTGTCTACTTTTGTTGTATAACGTGTTGCCTACATCAAAATTAATTGCATGATTAAAGCAAAGTTGATCAAAAATGTCTGTTAATTGCATGAGCTTTTTGTTGATTGCTGCACCATCTTGAGCAGAACTTGCTACATCTCTTTCAATACAGACACCAAATGAATTCAAATAATCCTTAATACTTTGTATTAAACTAATAAGGCCAGTTTTATAGGTTTTCTTACATTCGCTTTCGTACAGGTTGAAACCAATGTACCTTCTGTGCCTCAAAGATGTGTATTCATTGTGCGTCAAACTGAATTTATGTCTTATTTGAATTTATGTCCCATTTGAATTTTTTTTTGATAATTTCTTGTTTCATCACTTCCTTATTATCAGATAAATCTTGATTGATTAAATTCATAATAATTGTTGGACTTTTAGGATGATGATTTTCTCTTTATTGAATCGATGATAAATATATTCAAATATAAAGTATTCGAATATAGGGGACAGCGGGGCAATAAGGCGAATGGCGTAAGATGGGTTACTCAATTTTATACGCATATGTTTACTTTTTGCGCTTAAAAAAATTCCACAATTTCGGTTTCTCATAATGGATGGTGTCCTTCAAGTTTAACTTCTTTAAAAGCAGTTTTTGGTGATTTGTGTTTATTTTGTGTTACTTTATTTAGAGTTATTGGTATGTTTTAAAATTTTATAAAATTGGAGGCAAAAATTTTATAATAAGTCATCTTGCCCTGGTCACGTGACCAGATGACAAAATAACGAACTTTTTATCTTAATATTTATTTCAAACTGTGATATTTGCAAACTGAAAATTCATGCAGGCAATGAATCATTTTAATAACATAAACATACTGAGAAAGTATTGTTCCTTTACGACTGATAGTTTTGCAATAACTCAGGGCTTTCAAAACGTTTGCCATGTTGCCCCGCTTTCCCCTATTTGCGCGTTTTATTATTCGATTTTCGAATATTTTTTTTGAAATACTCGAGTAATTTTGAAAATGAAAAGACATACTAAGCTTTCCAGCAGAATACAATTTAAATAATATAATAATATTGCAATTACTTACAAAATTGATTTTTTGTACCTTTATATTTTACATTATACAAAAAAACTACCGATTATTGGTGAAACCGATTGGAAACCCTATGAAAATGCAAAATAATCCGACACCATATATATTTTTAAAATTATATATAAATATATTTTTCTTATAAAAATAATCTTTCATATTTCAAAAGCATCATGAAAATGTATTTTTTCCTTTTCAATGTCCTTCTGAAATATTAATATTACTGTTAGTGCATGTTAGTACCTTTAGTGCATGGCGCTCTTTACAATTTAATCAAGCTTTTCAACAAGTGCATTCACTTCCATATGGATCTTTGCAGCCACATCTAATGATGTTCAAAATATGTTGAGGACCTGCTTCTATATCCGCCATAATTGGTGCACGCATTTGACCCATCCCCAACTCAAAGGATCTAAATCAACTTCACTCAAATTTCTCTATTGTAAATGCAGCTCTTCGTGATGGTGGTAATTGAGCAGGATTAATACTTGCACAATCAGATCTTTTTAAAAATATGCCTTGAGGTTGTGCTTAAGTATGTACATGATGTATCAATAGACATAAAATATCAGTGTCATCTGAATAAATTGTGACGAACTCAACGTTATTAATTTCAAGCACTAGCTCAACAATATTTGTGTCTGTTTCACTGGGACAACAATTAACTTTAAAACCATTGTTTTGTAATTTCAATGCTAAAAGCCTGACAAAGTAATTTTTGATTTTGTAGCTACTTATGAAAATATTTTTTTCTTTTGAGCTTGGATTAAAACTTTTTGTGAAATCTTACCAGATCGCTTTTGGTGAATACTATCTTTAGTGGAAGACTAATAACCATCAAAAATAATTATTTCAAGTTGTAAGTGTTGAGAAAAACCAATGTATTTTAAAAAAATTTCACTAAATAACTCTTTTTTTTTTCCAATTGCAGCACCACAAATAATGCGCTCCATCAGCAATCTTGATTGATGCAGGTTCTTTTACTGGCGATACATTATTGAGTATGAATGTTTTCAATATTGACTTTTGTGCTAATCTCACGACACCTCTTAAATAAGGGTATGGTGGTAACGCATATACACTCCGTTACACTCCGCTTCATTCTCTGATTTTCTTTCAACAACAGCAACCAATCTTAGAAAAAGTGTTAATGGATCGATTGTAACAATTTCTTCTTTAATAGATACGCAGGAGTATAAGCTCTGGAGTGTTGTTATTTGATTGTTTTTGTTTAAAAAAGTAACTTTTGTAACTTTTACCATTCAGCTCTTTGTGTTTTGATGCTCCTATCTCTTCTGATCGATCACAGGTAATATTTTTCTGATTATCAACCAAACCTAAGTCCAATCTAACAAGATGATCTCCGACCATGAATGGGTTATGAGCAAAAAACCAAGATTGTAATTTTTTAAAGTCGTTACTATCACGTTTCATTCTTCCAGAGTACTATTCTTTATGTTTGTCAACAGATTTATGCGGAGATGTTAGAGTGCTCATCGCATT